CATTAGGGGATACCCTCCCCGAACCGACCTCGATCTTATACCTCGATCCGACCGTAATCATCACCCAAAGCGCTTCTGCGTGACGGCATCCCACGGTTGCCGATCCCAGGAGATCCGATGTACCCGTCGGTCGGAAGAAGCAGGTAAAAAAGAAGAAGTAGGAAAGCAGATCAAGTAGATTGGGTTCAGGCCCTCCCAGAGAAACCACCGACCCTGTCGGCGTGTGATCCATGTGACAAGGGCTGTCGCGTCGCTGCCGCCACCGCGTCCCCTCCTTCCCCTGAGTCCGTCGCCGCTCCCTGCCGTTCCTTGCGCCCTCGTCCTCGAGCACGCCAGCCAACGCGAAATACACCAGCCCATCCACAGCGAAATTCAGCAACGTTGCCACTGAGTCGAAGAAGGGAGGCCCTCTCCCTCTGATCCCTTTCCCGCGGAGGGGGGGGTCCCAGGGGGTGGTCCGGGGGGGGGGCCCGGGGGATGGTCCCGGGTCAGAATACCACCCTCCCGGGGCGTGTCGGGAGCGCCCTCTCCCTCCCAGTTAGGTCGAGGGCCGAAGCCTCCAGGGTCGGCGACACCAGCCGTAAGGCCTTAGCAATAGCACGTCGCAGCAAAACATGTCGACTCCTGAAGCAGGAAGACGCTTGACATATACTAGGATCTGGGAATCTATCAATACCTACTTTCAACGACGGGTGATACTCTCTTTCGCCAGGGCCCCCGAGGAGAGTCTCAACCATCTCCCTGACGCCAGCTTCTCGTCTCGAGCTATTTTTTCGGACGGCCCGCTGGGGCCCTGCGAGGTCCCGGGGGGCCGCACAGGGAGAACCACATCAGTACCGTAGGCGATTTTCAATTTTGGGTCTCGACGTCCTCGGCCGAAGGGTGGGGGAGGGGGGGGGGCGTCGGGGTCTGGGCTGCCGCTCAATCGATCTGGTTTTGCCGGTCGCGCAGGCAGACTGGAGGGAGGGGCCCTGACCAGTCGCCAGAAACCGGCCGCCCAAAGCAGCCAAGATCTGGCCTAAGGGGGGAGGGGGGGAGGACGGGGGCCCGCGCCGATCGGCGAGACAATAAAGGAGAACACAGCGACATTCATATGTTGCTCAATGCGGTTGATTTTCCCCGAATGTTGCAGGCTGCCAGACGTTTCGCACTGCGCCCCGCGATGCGCAGCTGCTCTTGCGCCCTTGCGCCGCCCAGGGCCCTGAGGCCAAAAGGGACAACCACATCAATATGTTGTTCAATGCATGTTTCTTTTGTTCGCTTGAGGGCGTGCAGATAGCGCATGATCCCAAAGCTACGGAACGGCAACATCACGCCGTGACGACGTCGGCGACGACGCCAATTTCTGACACCGTGTGGACCAATGCTGTTGGCTTCCCCCGAGCGTTGCAGGCTGCCAGACGCTTGGCGCTGCGCCCTGCCAGGCGCGGCTGTTTTCTCGCGCCCTTGCGCCGCCCGCCCTGGACCAGGGCAGCTCCTGCGGCCCAGGAGGACATCGAGAATCAAACCATATGACTTCAACTGCGTGCTACAATTCCAATCCATTTTCGCGTTTCGGACGTTTCTGGTAGATTTCGGGTTTCTGTGTTTCTACTGTGGAAGTCTACCGCGCGTGAAGCTTTACAGTCGGTTTCTTAGGACAAGTTCCATTGACTTCGACCCTGGGGCGGCAGGGCTTCCCACGATCGATCTGGGACGAGAAACGGCCAAGATGGGGACCTATGTAGGGGTCTGGGGACTGATTGTTCAATCTGGTCGAAGGAGAGGAGGACCTTCGACCCTCCAAACTCGACGATCGAGCCTCCTGGAGAATCCCCCCCCCGAGCTACGTTTTCCTCTCCACCCGGCTTTCGGGTCGTGGCCAGGGCCTCCGGCGGCCGCGGCTGCTGAAAAGCACCCGGGGCCAGAGGACCGCCGAGAACCGACGAACACGTCCGAAAACCTCCGGCCTGGAGCGTCCGAACACGTGCCCCCTCCTGGCTCGGGCGCCTCTGGCACCTTTTCAGAGGCCTCCCACATGGGGTCTGGGCGGGTGGGGCCAGAGGATCGCGCCGCATCGCCAATGCGTCGCCGATGCAGCGGCGACGCCGTCGGCTTGGGAGACAATTCGGGCTCCGCATCGAGCCGCACCGCCGACGCATCGGCGGTGCGGCGCGATCCTCCGACCCCACCTGCTGGGACCGCTCCTGGGAAAACCTAGAAAGTTCTTGGGCCCCAGGGGGGACTCTCTCTAGAGCTAGGAAATCCAAGGCTCGCTTGGGACTGGTTTCCCCCGTAAAGCAACCGACTTCCTCCCGAAACCCTCTGAAAACCCTCTTTTCGGAGGGTTTCGCGAAGGTTTCGGAAGGGTGTTCGTCGTTTTGAGGGGAAGCCAGTCCCTTGCGAACCCTGAGCTTTCTAACTCTAGAGGCCTGGTCAAGGCCTCGAGGAAAGGCACACTCCCTCCCCCCTGCGGGCGCTGAGGCCTTCCGTGCGCCCCTGCCGACGGCCGCGACGCCCGCGCTGCCAGAGGGTCAGCAGGCACGAGGTGGGCAGTGCAAAACTGGAGCCCTCGGGGAGCTCTGTGGGCGAGAACCTCAAGCGATGGGAGGTTCAGCTCGTGGTCCGCTTCTTTGGGAGAAGACGCAACGGTATAACAAGAAACTTTGGATCTGCGCGGATCTGTTGAATCTGCGCTGGACCCCCCTCCTTGGCGCGCGGAACGCGCCAGGGGCGATGCCGGGGGCGCCGCCAGGGGGGCCCAGCGCGGATCCAAGAAATCCGCACGGAGCGCCAACAGTTTATCTTCATGGAAAGTTTTCTTCTTCGCTTCCTGTCCTCGGGGCCCCATCTTCGATCCGCCGACTCCGAGGAGGGGCCGCGTGGGGGTCCGATGGTGCCCGAGGGCCGCGGGGGACTGATGAGAGAGCAGAAAAGCTAACCTCCTAAGAAGCACCCCGACAAGCGAAGACGATGAGCAACCGCACTCAAGAAAATAATCGAACAAAACAAAACCGTTTCGTCAACGTCTGATGTCCGCCGGAGGGCTCTCTTGTCCTTCAGCTCCGTCTCGGTTGATGCGCCAGCAGGCACGCGGTCGGCGATTCAAAGATGGGGCCCTGAGGGAGGGGGCTCCGAAGGCGAGAGCCTCAACCAGGAGCCCTTGTCGTATTGCTCACGCTCACGCCAGTGACCCGCCCCGCCGCCCCTCCCACCCCTGCCCACCCCCGATCAGACTAAGGAAATTAAACCAGACGATGAACATACTCTGATGGAAATATGTTGTCAGTATTGGGCTGGCGTTTCGTCCCTTGAGGGACTCGTCTGAGCCAAACTGACTTCAGATCATGTGCGTGTAAAGGTATGGGAGCAGTGCTCCAACATGTGCTAGAAATTACAATAAAAAGCCAAGCCCCTGGTCACGCCATGATTCGCGCAAGCGCCGCGTGGGAATCGGCCATCCAAGCGTTCCCAGACGGCGCAGGCACGAATCGTGACGTGACCAGCCCCCTCCCCCCCCTCTCCCCATGCCCCGGTCACGCCCGTTATCGCCAAGGGATGAAAAAAACGCTTCCCAGTGAAGGTTCAATTTGTGGTCCACTTCCTGTCCTCGGGGCACCCATCCCACAGAGTCCCATCTTAGAACCGCCGACTCTGGGGGAGGGGCCGTGTGGGGGGCCTGTGGGGCCTCAGGGACGAACCATTTTGTGGCAAGGCTTCATCAGAGAGTAGACACGCCCCCCTCATAAGAAACACCCCGACAAGCGAAGCCGATGATCAACCGCACACAAGGAAGGAATCGAACAGGACAGGGTCGTTTCGCAAAAGCCCAGAGCCGTTGAGCGAACGCCACTGATGAGGGTCGGGGCGTTTTTTCTTCCCTTGCCTGATGTCCGCCGTGGAGGGAGTGTGCCCCGTTGCCATCGCTCGGACGTCCATTCCCCGTATTTTTGTTCAGTTTCGTGCGTGATGTGTTTTCGCAAGGTGGCCCAAGATGCGCCTAAGTGGTCCAGATTTTCTGGCGACGGCCCCTCCGAGAGACATGCACACTTCCGAGCAATGCCAAGGCCCTGACGGGCCGCGGGAACTGACAGCCGCCGTGGAGGAGCCGCGAGGAGGTCCGTCGGGGCCCCGAGGTTCGCGGGGACCCTGCTGGCCGCCGTGGAGGCGGCGGGCCCTGCCGGAGGCCTCGGGGGTCCTGCGGCCCCGTCGGGGCCTCCGCGGGCCCAGGCCGCCCGGCTCCGCGCCGCCCTCTCTCTGGAGAGGGGGTTGCGTAGTGGAGGGGCGATGTCTGGGGGGGGGGGGGGGGGCGAAGACTCGAGCACCTTTCGTGCACCCTTTTGGCCCGAGAGGGCCCCTCTGGGGCCCCTGCAGCGCACGAGAGGTGCACCTTTCTTCCCCCCCCCCATCCGTTACGCAACGCCCGACTGGAGAGGGAGGTCAAGCCTCTGGCCCGCGCCGCAAAACGCGCGGCCGTTTGCGCGCCCCTGCGGGAGAGCTCGCCGCCGCGTCAGCGCGGCGCGAACCGGATTGCCCGGAGATCCGACTTGGTGCTTCTGTAACTCAGCCAAGCCCAAGTAGTACCAGCAGGAGCGCTAAATGAGGAACGGCGCCCCACTTTGGCCCCCAAAGCGCCTGGGTGCACGAATATCGCTAGAGGAACAACCATGGAAAGACCCAAGGAACATCGAGTCCCTTCTGGACCCAAAATAGCCCCTCTTTCAGCGTCTTGATTGTACGGGGCCCCCAGGAAGTCCCGATCCTCCCCCCAGGACCGGTGTAGCTTCTTGAGCAATCTTTGGACGGTGCCAAGGGAGGCCCCGCACGCTGCAGGTCTGGATGCCCAAGACCAAGGCCAAATGTCTCTGTGGAGAGCCCCATGCCCTGCAATGCGCGGAAAAGAACCGATGTGCAAAAGTACCGTGGTAACGTACAGTAGTAGCTGTCAAAGGTGGGACGAAGACCCGTGGGGAAACGGCGCTGCGGAGGGAAGGCCTCGCGACCGCGCCCAGGCAGCCCGCCTACGGATCTGGCCGCCTCCAGACGCCGTTCCAGCCGCCGCCGAGCAGCGCCCCGGCGTCCAGGGCCGCGTCCCCACCCTGGGGCGAGCGGGCGCAGCAGAAGCCACTGCGCGGGGTGTGGCCGCGCCCCTTCGGGACCCAGACCCCCGACGTCGTGACTTCTTTATGGCGAGGACCCCCAGAGGTCTGGACCCCTTCCCCAGGACCGGCTTCTCATCCCGACCCGCCTTGTGACAGACCTGAGGCCCGGTGAGGGCCCCCAGATCAGAGGCCGAGAACTGCTATCAAAAACTGCCTGTCGTGATTTTTGCACGAGTCGGTGGGGGCCTGGGGAGCAGAGGAGCAACACAGAAACGACGTCGGCGCAGGCTTTCGGAGGTCCGCTCGGAGTTCTCGGGCCGGCGCTGAGACCCCTAACCACGCCCGCGCGCCGGGGGCTCGTGGAGGCGCGGGGGGAAGGGAGGTCCAGCGCCAGCTCAAGAAAGCCGCGCGGGCCTCCGAAGGATTGTGCTGATCGACAGTGGAAGGCCGCTCTTGAAATCAACTTTTCCACCATCGGGCGCGCCCGTGCCAGGGAGCGTTGGCATTCATATGCCTTTGCAGGCCCCCACGAAGCTCCAAGAGGCCCCCCATAGGCCCTCATGAAGCGCCCAGAAGGGCACCATGAAGCCCCGAAACGCGCACAAGAGGCCCTCAAGAGCAACACGCCACAACGGCCAATTCACCAAGGGGTCGGCGGTATGGCGTGAGCCCAAGAATCAACTTTTCCACCAGCGGGCACGCCCGTGCCGGGGAACGTGGGATGAGGTATAATCTTACCAGCCCCGCGGCGGGGAACTTCTGTTACACCCCAGACCCCCGACGTAATGATTTTTGTGCAACGTCGACCCCAGAAGTCTCGACCCAGTCCCCAGGACTGGCTTTTAATCCTGCCTCGTTTTTCGAGGTCCCGGGGCCTGGTTTCGCGACGCAAAGGTTGTCTGGGACCGTTCGCGCCCCGCGAAGCTGATGCCCTCGTATCATTTCTGACTGGCAGGAGCCAACTCGGCACTGAGAAAAGGCGTACGATGCTCAACAACAGTTGATGCCCAAAAACGACAGCGGTCACCCACAATTGGACTCCTGGACAAGCGGCCTCCTTTCTCAAATCGACCACGCCCACGGCGGCACCGACAGCGATTCCTGGTTAAACCGGACAGTAATTATTGTTAGTCTTCATCCCCAGTCTTTCTGTACCCTTTTCCGATCGTGCCGATCTGATTCGGCGGCTCCGAAGGGTGTGGTTTGCAGGGGGCGCTGGTTGCACACACCCCGGCGTAACCACACCGGCTAAAACGGGGCAAGGGTAGCGGAATATCGGTACCTCTTCCCCATCCTGAGGTGCAGGCGAAGCGGCGGAGGAGCCACGACATCTGCAAACATCGCTAGGGGAACAGAAGACGGCCTAAACGCATAAACATCGCCAGCAGATGGAGGGCTAGATACCTCTCCATTGGGGTGCGCGATGGGGTCGGAGAATCGCGCCGCATCGCCGATGCATCGTCGATGCGTCCGCGAAGCATCGGCGACGTCGGCGTGGAGAAAATCAGGCTCCACATCGAGCCGCATCGCCGATGAATCAGCGATGCCGCGCGATTCACCGACCCCGTCTGCTCGGGTGCGCGGCCTCGGCGCCCGCGGTGGGCGGCGCGACTGGGTGCAGCGGCCGCCGGTGGAGCTCGCCGAGCCGCAGGAGACCGCCGCAAGGATCCGCCAGCGCCCCGCCGGGCTTGCGCGGGCGGCCGCCCTGCGGCGGGCCTCGCGGGGTGGCGGCGGTCCTGTGGCAGGCGGCAACCAGGCGACGAGAAGAAGCGGGGGGGGCACGTGGCTGTGCTGCCATGATCCGCCACCTGGCCCTGGAGGCACGAGTTGGAGTGCCCCCAGGCCACCCTGGTCCCTTGTTCCATGCCCTTTAGCCACACTCCTCAATTCTGAGGGTACTTTACGGGACCCAGACCCCAAGAATCATCCCTGAGGACTCTGACCCCAGGCACGGTGGCGGGATGGGCCGAAGGCTTTTGATATAGAGGCCTCCCAGATGGGGTCCGAGCAGATGGGCTGCGGAGAATCGCGCGGCATCGGCAATGCATCGGCCATGCATCGCCGATGCATCGGCGCCACCAGCGTGGAGAATATCGGGCTCCACATCGAGCCGCATCGGCGATGCGGCGCGATCCTCCGAAACCATCTACTCGGACCCCATCTGGACGGCCTACACGTCGGTCGGAAGAAGTAGGTAAAAAACATGTAGTGGTAATGCGGATAAAGTAGATTGGGCCCAGGCCCTCCCAGATAATCACAAAGCACAGCAAAAGCATATCGATTCTTGAGGTAGGAAGGCGCTCTAAACAGATACTCTCAACGACCGACGGGTAAGAGACAACGCATTCGGAACGCAGAGGCTGTTCTGGTCACGGCTAGCCTCGGCCGCGGCTGGGAGACTCTCCGACACAGCTCTCGAGACGCGGCCCGAACGCCCTCCTCCTCCTCCTCCTCCTCCTCCTCCTCCTCATCCTCCTCCTCGTCCCCCTGGAGCCCCAAGCGGCCCTCACTTCGGCGCCTTGACTGCAGCGACCTCGCGCCGCAGCCTGCGCCTGCCGCCGGCGCGACACACCGCGCGGAGAGGGCGCTCGCGCGGGGCCGTGCGCGACGGGAAGCTTACCAACGAATGCCCGCGCAGTTTGAGCAAGGACCGCCCGCCCCAAGAGGCCTACCACGACGTGTTTCGAACCAGAAATAAAGATGATGTTCTTCGAGAATGTAGCCGAGGCACTGGAATAAGACAGTCTCAGCCCAACATGTTCTAAGATCATCTCGTGCAGATCACAAGAGGTTATTAGAACATTCTTGCACACCAAAACGCTTCGCCACCATTTGAGCAAACGACGCCCCCTTTTCTCCCGTCGCTCATCTGCGCACCGCTGCCCTGACCAGGGCCCGGGGGGTCTGTAGGGTAGGCGACGTCCCAGAACTGCTCGGGGGGCCCGTCAAGCAACAACGCCCTGGGCGATGATTAACACGGGTTCGAGGCCCGCTCGTGGGCGTCGTCGGCGTCGTCGTCGTCGTCGTCGTCGTCGTCGCCGTCCTTGACATTATTCAGCCGTCGCCTCCGCAATCGTGTCCCGCGTATTTCTGTTTGTCTTAAGTGCTGCCCCGAGTGCTTTCTTAACCGTCATCCTACCTCCATCACGCCATCCGGGGGCCTATTATGGCCCTGGCCAAACAGGGCGGTGGATTCAGATGCCGTCTGCGCAGGTCCAGCCCCCGGAGGAGACGATGTTCGCGCCACTCGAGGCGAAGCCGGCGGCGATGGCGCCCGTCGCCTCGCTGCCCGCGCCGGTGCTCCTGCGCGGCGTGCTGGCAGCCGTTGCAGATCGGAGGAGGGCCGGCTGAGACAACGGCGGCCCTCCCGCCCGGCCCAGACTCGCTCAGGATCAGTCCCCAGACCTCTGCTGCTGTGGAGGCGGGTCCGGCCATGGCAACGCGACGCCTCCCGGGAGGCCCCACCACCCTGCGAGCCGATGTTGCGACGCTTATTGCAACATCGCGCAAACTCACGACCAGAGCCCCAGACCCCGTCTTTCTGCGGCATCCTCCGAGCTGGATCGATCTGTGATGGCCCTGGGGCCCGACGCGAGGCAACATTGCCCGTGGCGAAGACATTGCAACGCGCGAGTCTCCAGCGAGGCCGCTCACACAAAAATCGGGGAGACGTAATTAAGACTCGGGTTCGGGTGACTCGGGTTGGCCTGACGGGGCCATCGACAAAACTGACGAGAACCAATCTGAATTTTGACGCGAACTCCCGCAGCAAACATCCCACGAAAACTGGACAGTCAAAATCCAGGACGCTCTCGTCCAAAAATGCCGCCAACCCCGAGTTCCGGCTTCCTCGAGGCTTACGCTCCCCAGGAAAACACACATCACGCCATGAGACGGGCCGCCGCTATCTCCGCCGGCGCGCCTCCCTGCGGAGCCCTCGCTGCGCCCGGTGCTCCCGCGGGGCGTGCCGCCGGCGGCCGCCGCAAGGGCGGTGGGCGGGCCGGTGGGGGGGGCGCCGGCTGCACGCCGGCAGCCAGGACGAGGATCAACTCGGGCGAAGATACACCGAGACTCTCTGAGATCCGGCGGCTCTGGAGGATGTCTCCGGCGCCGCGGCCTTCTCAGAGCGTTCCGGAGCGCTCTGAGAGCGTTCTGGAAGGCTCTCTGGAACGGAGTTCTCCTCGTCCTGGCCCCGCCCGATCCTGCAGCATGGGCCCAGGGGTCGGTGCAGGAAGCCTTCCCGGCCAGGCCAGGGCCCAGAACCCCTCGGGTCGGGAAAGGATCACGACGGAAGGGTTTCGGCCTCCGGGGGCGCCCTCACCCGGCATCGGTACCTTCGACAAACTATGCTCTGAAGGTCACTTCGACGCCCTTATTGACGGACTGGGGGGGGGGTAATTTTCTTCCCCGCCGAGAGAAACAGGGGGGGTGACCCCAAACTAAAGGCGTGTCGCGATTACTCGGGCTGGAAAGCGAGTCCGGGGCAAAGGGCCGAGGCCTCCAGGGCTCCACGCGGTGAAACAAATCCTGCCGTCGGGGGTCCGAGATCGTTGTAAGGAGGAGGAGGAGGAGGAGGAGGCGGGGGAGGAGGAGGAGGAGGAGGAGGAGGAGGAGGAGGAGGAGGAGGAGGAGGAGGAGGAGGAGGAGGAGGAGGAGGAGGAGGAGGAGGAGGGGAGGAGGGGGAGGAGGGGGGGAGGAGGAGGAGGAGGAGGAGGAGGAGGAGGAGGAGGGGGAGGAGGAGGAGGAGGAGGAGGAGGAGGAGGAGGAGGAGGAGGAGGAGGACGAGGAGAAGGAGGAGGAGGAGCGGAGGAGGAGGAAGCGGAGGAGGAGGAAGCGGAGGAGGAGGAGGAGGAGGAGGAGGAGGAGGAGGAAAAGGAGGAGGAGGAGGAGGCGGAGGCGGAGTGCGCGGCGCCGATCCTGAGCCTCATAGGGCGGGCCTGGGCAGACGGGGTGCCGGCGTGCGGTTGGCGTTAGATCGGGCACGTCCTCCTGCAGGTGGATTTTGCAAGAAAATTTGAAAGATTTGAAAGCCGATTCAAATATATGCAAAATAAATAGAACAATCATCCCCAAACTGTTGTTGGATTATGTTTGACAATTCTCCTGTAGAGGGACATGCCCAGCTTACGCTTGGCGCCCCCCGAAGGAAAGAGGCCACTCCGCGGCGCTGGCGCCGTGCACCCGCTCGTACGTCGTGGCGAACTGGCTCGGGTAGTGCCCGAGGTGGGAGGGACAAAAAACGGCACACGCACAAGCCCTGGGAGGTCCGCGCGGGTTCCTCGGCTCGGCGCCAGGCCCCCCGTCCCTGGCGCGCGGCGATCCATGCAATCCGCGCCGGGCTCCGAACACGGCTCGACCTGAACAGCGTCTTCCATGCTCGTTATACTGATTCGCTTCTATTTTCGTTGTGCTTCCGCCTTCCGAAGAGGGAGCGAGGGAAAGCCTGTCCCTCGTTCCCTCTCCCCCCCGCCCAGATGCTGCCAGATGAGCTCGAAAAACGGACACGGCCCACGGACCCGCCAAGCACACACACAATCACACTCACACTCACACTCACACTCACACACTCACACTCACACTCACACTCACACTCACACTCACACTCACACTCATACTCACACTCACACACACACACTCACACTCACACTCACACTCACACACTCACACACTCACACACACACACTCACACACACTCACACACACTCTCACACACTCACACACACTCACACACTCACACACTCACACACTCACACTCTCACACTCTCACACTCTCACACACTCACACACACACACTCACACACAAACACACACACACACCAACACCACACACACACTCAAACTCGGCTCGAGCCCCGCCATCCAGGAGCTCGTGCCTGCGCCGCTCTCCCTGCCCCTCGCCGAGGAAGCTGCCGTACGTCGTGGCGAAGGTCCGTGTGCCCGGGGCGCTCCGCGCGCCGCGGGGGCTGCCGCCGCTCTGCCTCGCCCGGGGCGCCGCGGCGGCAGACATGGCCGGGGGTGGCGCGGGCGCCTCCCTGGCGGGCTCCCCCGGCGGGGGGCCTCCTCCGCGCCCCCCGCGGCGGGCGCCGCGGGGGGCCCTCGCGGGCAGGCCGCCGCCGGGGGCGCCTCGGGCCAGGGCGGCGAGGAGAGGGGCAGGGCCGCAGGCCAGGGCAGGGCGCGGACGAGCTCGGAGGAGGTCGGGAAGCTCCGAGCACGGGCGGGTCTGGAGGATGTGCGCGGCCTCCTCGGAGAGAACTGGACAGCTCTGAGACCGTTCTGGGACGCTATATCCCCATCCCGGCGCGGCAGCGTTGGAGAGAAATGGGCAGCCACGAGAGGGTCCGATTCCTAGAACAATTGGAACTATCTATCCTTATCCTGAAGGAAGGACAATGTACAATGCATCCCCATCCTAGGCCTGCCCAGGTGGAGGAAGGCCAGTGGACAGTGGCCTGGAATGCCTCCAACGAAGCAGGCCTAGGACAAGACAAGGGAGCAGGAAACGAGACAAGAGAAATGACCGATCGCCATGGCCAGAGTGACTGGCCAACAGCGCAAGGCCGATCGGGACCGATCTAGCTCGTCGGGGTCACGGTGCAGCGGGCTGGCGCGGAGAAGGAGGGGGAGGGGGAAGACAGCAGTGGGGTGGGGATGAGGGGGGGGGGACACGAAACAGTACCGATCCCGCTACTCCCCGGACCTCTCCCAGGGCGCGTTCTGACCAGGATTTCGAGGCGAATCCAGCGGTGGCGACGAGGGCCGCCCAGGAGGCCCAAAAAGGGGGAAACAAAGGAAGGGTAAAGGTATGGGTACAGGTTTCCTCCTATGGGGGTGAGACAGAGAGCCCGCACATGCTCGCGTCGAATGCGCAGGGTGGCGGTGACTGCCCCACTTTACCAGTCCTGACCCAGCAGGAGAGCCCAGAATCGAATCGATCAATCGGATCGGCGATCGAAATGAATCGGATCGGCGGAAATCGGCAGCCGAGTCGGGAAAAGTCGAATGGGCGGAAATCGGCAGGCTAGTAGGCCTCCAGTGAGAGATCTGAACCCAAATCAGAATCTCAAGTCGAATCGAGTCGGAATCGGAAGCCATCGAAGCCGAATCGAATCGAATCGGAGGAACCGAAACGAATCCTGCCACGGTTGGCCTGTCCAATATCGGTGTCTGCGGATATGTGGCGCCCCCGGGACACGTTTGCCCAGAGTGGAGCCATCCCAGGAGAGAGAGAGAGAGAGAGAGAGAGAAAGAGAGAGAGAGAGAGAGACATAATGGGCGGGAGGGCGGGCGGTGAACGGAATCCGGCGAGACACTCAGGGCGGGGTGGGGTGGTGTTCTCTTGCTCCTTCCTTTCTTGTCCTCACTTTTTGTCGATTTTGCTCCCACTTTTTCTGGAGGGGCATTTGGCCTCGCCCCCTTGCCGAATGCAGCCAGAGCCTTGCCGTAGAGGGACATCGACCGAGGATCGAGGCTGCTCTCTCCTCCACGTCTAGCTACTGCTTTCAGCCGGGGGTATACAACAAACAATCACCTTCAAACTGCCGCGCCGCTTCTCCAAAAATGCCCAGAGAAAACACCCAATGTGTTCGACAATACGCTCACGAAGGCCCCAAGAAGCCTTGGTTCCTGTCTTCTCCGTCCTTAATCGTCCCTCCTTCGAACCTCCCCTCCGCCCGCCCGCCCCCCACCCGCGTCTGCCCGGGTCCGCCCTCTTCACATCCGCAGAGGGTTCCATGGAGGCTCCTGAGACTGCCCCACAGGAGCCCCAGGCAGCCCGAAAACAAACGAAATGAACTCCATCAGAGTTCCTCAATTCAGAGCGGACTAGGACGGTGTACATCAAACTTTCCTGCGATCGGCGACGCCTGTCGCAGGGCGGCTTGCTGGAAAATCCCACCAACCCTTTAGGGCGTAGGTGGTCTACGGAACTTCCTCTTCCAACCCCCTTTTTCCCCTTCGGTGAAGGGTTTATCACTATTCCCTATTAGTATACACCCCCTGCCCCAAGCGACTAGGAGCCAACCCGAGACAATGAGGGCCCCCCCCACCATCCCTGTCAACAAAAACAATACAGAGTACACTTGGCAGTGGCGGCGGCTGCGGCGGCTGCGGCGGGGGCGGCGGCTGCGGCGGCGGCGGCAGCGGTGGCGGCAGCGGTGGCGGCAGCGGCTGCGGCGGCAACGGCTGCGGCAGCGGCGATTCGGCAGCGGGGGCGGCGGCGGCGGCAGCGGCGGCGGCGGGCGGCGGCGGCGGCGGCGGCGCGGCGGCGGACAGCGGCGGCGGCGGCGGCGGCGGTGGCGGCGCGGCGGCGGCGGCGGCGGCGGGCGGCGGCGGCGGCGGAGGCGGCGGCGGCGGATTCGCCCCCAGTAACTGCCCATCCAAAAACGACTGCTGCATATGCTGCGGCGAGACGGCTTGCGGGGAGGGCGTCTTGATCACTGTTCCTTAGTACAAAAAAAAACACACCCTCCCCCAGGCGACTGGGAGCCAACCCAGGTCCATGCGGGCCCCCCCCATCATCCTGCCCCCACCGTCCCTGGTAAAACACCATACAAAACACACTCTGTCTCCAAATTCTGAGCATGCGCAGCGAGCCCGATGCGGCCTCCCCCGGTCAGCCCTGTCAAAAAACAATGCAGAGTACACTTGGCGGCTGCGGCGGCTGAGGCGGCTGCGGCGGGGGCGGCGGCTGCGGCGGCGGCGGCGGCGGCGGCGGTGGCGGCGGCGGCGGCGGCGGGGGCGGCGGCGGCGGTGGCGGCGGCGCGGCGGCAGCGGGGCGGCAGCGACTGCGGCGGCAACGGCTGCGGCGGCGGCGATTCGGCAGCGGGGCGGCGGCGGCGGCGGCGGCGGCGGCGGCGGCGGGTGGCGCGGTGGCGGCGGCGGCGGCGGACAGCGGCGGCGGCGGCGGCGCGGCGCCGGCGGGCGGTGGCGGGCGGCGGCGGCGGCGGAGGCGGCGGATTCGCCCCCAGTAGCTGCCCATCCAAAACCGACTGCTGCATATGCTGCGGCTCGGGCCAAGCTCGGGTGCTACGTATGTGTTGGGAGGGCGGGTGGGAGTGAGCGAGACGGCTTGCGGGGAGGGCGTCTTGACTCCTCCCCCTACCCCTCCCCTGGACCTGGACGGGGGGTTCCGCGGGTAGTTGGAGCGTCCAAAACGGCCTCGGCGAGGAAGCCGCAACCATTGGTTTTACCAAGGTTTTGGCTCAATTGAGGCCTCCTGGGGGGGGGGCTACTTGGGGAGCTCCTCTCCTCTGATCGACCTCACCCAAGATGGCCCAAAGATGGCCCCCAAGGTTCCAAGGGTGCCCCAAGAGGGCCCCAAGAGGTGGCCAGGAGGCCCCAAGAGGCTCCCAAGAGGCCCCCAGAATACCCCTAAGAGGCTCCCCAAAGACACCAAAGAGGCCCAAGAGGCCCCCCAGAGGCACCCAAGACGCTCCCAGAGGCCTCGGCGAGAATGCCAAAATCATTGATCTTACTAAGTTGTTGGCCACATTTTGGCCTCCTGGGGGGGCACTGACTCAGATGACTCCAAGAGCGCCTGGGAGAGCCCAAGATGATCTTCAATATGGCTCCAGATATTCCAAGATGTCTCAAGGTGGCTCCCACGATGCTCTAAGATGCCCCAAGACCGCTCCAAGACGGCTTCAAGTGGCCCAGGAGGCCCCGAAGAGGCCAAAATCCTTCCAACACCTAAGGGAAATCCATGTTTTTGGCTTTCTCGCCTTTTCGATTCCGATGGCCATCCGAGGCCTCAAAATGACCCAAGATGGCTCCCAGAGAGGATCAAGAGAGCCTCAACACGGCCTCCAAGAGCGCCCCAAGAGCGCCCACATAGGCGACTTTTTGGGCTCCCGAGGGGCAACGCTAATTCATGCTCCCCTCTTGTTTGATCGATGTCCTCCAAGATGGCCACAAGAGCGCTCCCAAGGCTCCCAAGAGCGCTTCAAGATGGCCCCAAGAGGCGCCCATGAGGCCCCAACAAGCGCCCAAGAAGCCTCCCAGAAGCTCCCAAGAGACCCCCAAGAGGCCCCCCGTAGCCATTTTGGCTCAAGCTATTAGCTCGGGCGCGCGCGTGCGGGCGCTTGGGCGGGATGGCGCGGGAGAGTCTGCGAGGCGCCGCTGGTGCGCGTGCCTCGGCAGACCGCCTTGTCCAGACGCTGGTCAAGGAGCTCGAGGAGACCAAGGCCAAGTTGGCGCAGGCCCAGGCGCGGCCCATGGCGTGCGAGCCGATGTCGCCCGTCGCGAGCGCCTGGCGCGGCCGGCGCTGGATCCGCGTGTCGCAGGGGGCGTGGAATCGGGCGCGAAGCGGTTGATCCGCAATGCGGCGCTCCGCTGGCCGAGTGGCGCACCGCTGGCCGAGTGGCGGAGCGCCCAGCATGGCCCAAGGCTCGGCGCAGGCGGCATGGCTGATGGCCTGGGAGCTGTCGGTGCCGCCAACGCGCGGGGCGAGGGCCTGGAGGGGTCTTGGTCGTGCACGTCGCGGACTTCGAGGCCAAGCTGCTGCCGAAGTACGACGTCTGCGGTGGGGGCCCCGATGGCGACGAGCGCCAGGAGAGCAGCGTCGAGTGCGAGGGCGTGTACGGCCCAGGCTTCGACGTGGAGGAGAAGCTGTGCGGCAGGCTTCACGTGAGGGGCTTCCACGTGCAACAGGGCGAGAACGAGGAGCGCGAGAGGGAAGGCGGCTCGGTCCGGCTGGCGCCAGGTGCCTGGCAGGCGGTGGACCCCGAGGCGGAGGCCAAGGTCTTCGTGGAGGGCATCGCAGCCGGGTGGCGCCTTGCTGGGCTGGAGAAGGGCGCGCCGTGGGACCTCGCGCGAGGCTGGCGGCTGGCCGAGAGGGTCGGCCATCAGCAGCACACGGCGGCTGTGGCGAAGCGCTGGGCCGCACGGTGGAGGCAGCGAGCGGAGTCCAGCCAGGGCGCGGGCCTGATGCCGAGGGTGCGCGCGAGTGCCGTTCGGCTGGCTCTCAGAAGGGAGCTGGACGAAGAGGCTGCCCTCAACCAGCACATCAAG